CGAGTTCATTTCCTGCAGCATCATCGTCTAGTCTCAACAAAGGCCTAATCGTTGGAGTGGTAGGATCAATGACTGAAATTACATGTGTGATTATCTTACTATACCAACACTACGCATGAATTATAACCTGGGTGAACAGATTCATAAATGTTTCGAAGATACTCCACAGCTCTTTTCCTACCCATAGGTCTGAGACCATGGCGAGCTAACTCTTTCTGAACACGAAAAGTTATAGAAAAAAAAAGAATTTTTTTAACCTTCAAATCATTGTCATCCATTCCTTCATAGTTCGGCATAGGAGTAATTTCGGTAGTTTTCAGAATTTTAACGTTCGAACCAAATCTTAAAAGAAATTTTAACCTCACCAACATGTATACTCACTTTGGTCTCTTCAAAGAAGGCTGTAGGGGAGTTGATTGAGCAAGAGGCATGGCAAAAGAAGTACTCGGAGATTGTATAGGTAAATCATGAGATTGGATCTGAGAAGTGGTATTGGAAATGCTTAGATTCTTACTTTCCTACGTTATTCTGGGCGTCTATCTCGTCGAATGAATCTAAGGGTTCCATTCTCAGACGATCGCACATGTTTGGGTTGTCGAAAGAATCGTAATCTTGCACGCCTTCCAGAGATTCCCTGATTCGTGTCAACTAAGAATAAAAGAATGAGACATATTGGGATGTAAAGTTAAAACTCGTGAGCTTCTTCGACGTGCTGGTAGAGGTTGCTTGTTCTTGTCAGGAGGTTGTTGCAATACTTCATCCGGGGTCTTTTCTTTCTCTATAATCAAATGATTGAATGTTAGATAAACGATCTTACCTTCTGTCGTGTTGGTTTTCCAGAAGCTTTCTCTATAAATATCTTCATCATTCATAGGAAAATCATAGTTCGCTTCATAATATGATTGAGACACATTAGGTTGTGGAATCTAGAAGCTATAATGTTCGACTTTCAACAAGCTAACATACCAAACTTTCATACGGTTCAACTTCTTCTTGAAGTGGTGGTTCATCCAGTATCTCTTCTGGCAAAAAAATTTAACCATTCGCTAATGAATAAAAAACCAACCTGTTGATATCAGCTCTGGGCTTTCTTCTTTATCTTTCTCATCGCTTATTTGGATTGAAGGCTGTTATGATTTAATTATGAAATAATGCTTTTAACACTAACCGATCGTTTAGAAACCTCGTTGATAATAGTTATATCACTTTCAATGCTGATTATCGAAGTATCCATGTGTATGCCTTGCAATGGATCTTCACAATCTACAGTCTAGAACAATGGCTGAGGAAAGAAGAAGTTTAGGAAGTTACCTTATTCTCATATAATGTTTCAGAGCTAATGATATCATCATGCAGATCTTCCGGAGGTGTAGAAATATTTTCAGATAATGGATCATCGCACTGAGGATGTATAGGTTTGCTCTCCAGAACGGGCTCCTGAATATAACGTTATCAAATATATAACATTCATATTATCACCTTGTGAAGAAGCTCTGTTGCCGATTTGACTCTTCTCAAAAAGCATTTTTCTCTCTCGTTTTCGTCTTCTTGATTTTCGATCCTTTTGCAAGCAATTATGATACCTTCAGGTCCGTACTTCAATCCTAATCTTCTTATAGATTCATTATCATCTATCGACCATTCAATAGCCCCGGAATATACATAGGACAGCCAGTACTGCACCATCTTTGAAAAGCGACTTAACAAGAAATGTTGGACCGAACCTACTCCAGTAGACGCGTTTACTTCACAAATATTTTCCCTTCTCTGAGTTATCTCCCTTGTACGTTTCTCTAATATCATGCGATGACAATTCACTTCTCCTGGAAGAATTGTATGAGGTCAAGACAATGAAAGAAGTTTGAAGTGCTACCATCAGTACATTTCAAGGTGAAGTCGAAGGTTTTATTACTTTGATCACTCAACGAGTATAAGTCTTTTGCCAAATTTTCAAGATGCAGTAGCTATGAGTAGAACGATTATATCATAAGAAATTACCTACACCAACAAACCCTGTCTAGTGTCTTTCTTTCTTGTATAGCTAAGAAATTCACTTTATTGTCACATTCTGCTACGTAGTCTCTAATCGGCTTTCTTTTTCTTGTTTTGAACATAGAGATAAAACGTTCATGTAAAAGAGTTAGTACCTTAAATGGTAGGAATGATATGAAACTGAACTTATGCTTACTTGGCATTGGCATTCATGTGGTGCGAGCTGGACTATGGAATACGATCGGGGTCTTTTTTTCCGGTTTGTCTTCAAATCCTCCAGTCTAGTTTCGGGATCAGTTCTAATCGACATAAAAAGCAAAACCTTTGAAATTGTGGACTATCATGTTGAAAAGTGGGAGGCTTGTTGCTCACAAATTCCATACTCTCAGACAACGCCTTAACCAATATGTTGAGGAAATCAAACCCTTATTCACCTTCGCTAGCTGCAAATCTTCGTCTAGCTTGGTCTTCGGCTCGTTTTTCAGCTTTTGTGGTTTGACAGCTTTCACAGTAGGGATAGGAGCACTGAAGACAATGCTATGTGTTTGGAGGTGATAATTTCCGATATTCAAAACCTTGTATGATTGATTCCTCTTTTCTTATTTACTTCAACGACTTTTGTTTGTAAGTCCAGCAAGTCTACGAGTTTCGATGCGGATACATTGCTTTCCCTACCGCATTTTTTAATGTGTGCCGATCGAAACTGTAAAATGGTTGTGAAATCAGGAGCTGTTTAACACCTACTGGTCCAGGTTCTAAAGGTTTCCTACAAATAGGACAATCTATAGTTAGAGAATGCTTTTCCTTTGCTTTCTGATGATTAGTAATTGTTTGTTGGCCATCAAGACATTGATTGGTATGAAGAGATCTTAGATCATTTCCACATTTAACGTCAGAATAACTATTCCAACCTTCGAACAGTATTGAGCTGGGATAAATCCTTCATACACAAAGGGCATACGATTTTCTCCTTCGGGGGGGAATCAAGACCAGATATTCCAAATGAGTCTTCCTCTGTTGATCTTATTTAATCAATTCTTTTGCAACTTTTACTTACTTCTCGATAAGTTTGCGAAAAGGGAGGGAGGATCTTCAATGCCATCGTCGTTCTTTTTCGCTGGCCTCCTTCAATTGAAGTTGTTAGCCAAGTATCATAAAATGTCTTAACTTTGGAGCTAATAGTATAGGATTATCCACTGGTTTACTTCTCACAAAATCATCTTCATCCATAGCGAGACTGTTATCATACCCTGGGAGTATGAAGTGAAAGCTAAATGTTTGTTATTTCAGCAATTTTGTACGCAAAATACCGTGTTGGGGGTGATTGCGCGAAAATAAAGAATATGCTTCAAGCAATCAAACTATCAATTTGAAATATGTAAATCAACCGACTCTCTGATGAAGTGTTTGATAAATGAATTGAGCTTAACTTTTTTCCTTTCTGGTTCTATTTCACCGCAAGCGGTTGTGCACCTCACTCTCTTGTGTTCAGTATCAGTGATAAGTTTCGCTTCCAGGAACTTCACCTCCAAACAAACCTTAATATCAATGCTAATATTCATAACTTACTAATGAGCTCACGATCTGCAATCACCAAAGAGGTGAAAAGTTAGTGTTTGCATACGATAAAGTTTTTAAAGCTTTCATTCAGGTCTGCAGAAACAGTTGAAAAAAGTAAATAATAATGAGATCCAGAAAAGAATAGACATCATATTGGAAATTGCCGATTGTTATCGGAAGTGTGGGGATTTCGACTCAGCGGTACCCCAATACTTGACTGGTACTTCCTCCTGGTTCAATGGTGACAAACGTTTCGTTATAGTTGAAGAGGAAGCACAGCGTTATAACTTATCATTAGATTCTTCTTTTGCTTATCGAGCTTTGGCTGAAATTCATACCGAACTAAGTGGGTGTCATTTTGAAACCCTCATCATGTTCTTCTTCAGATAATGCAGCTGAGGCAAAAATGTACTGTGATAAGTTTCGCAAGGCGGCGAAAGAATCACAGAACTTTTCTCAAATTCAGTTGTCATACCATGTTTCTGGTTGGGTGCTTCAACGTTTATGGGCCGAAGATCCCTGTAGACCGAGACAACTTTTGGAAGAAGTATGTTCACTGGAGTATCACTATAACTTCTCCTGATAGGCTTCGCAATATTTAAAGAGAAGCATCCGTTTGATCAAGGAAAATGCGAGCGGTATTGATTCTGATTCCAAGGCGGTTGAGTCTGGTGGTGACTCAAGGAAAAGAAAGGCACGGGCGGTATGATTATTGGTCTGACTGTATTAGGACAACTTCTTTAAAGGAAACCTTATATGCCGGTATTGCTGGTTGTTTAGGATTCAGGGAAGAGGCAGTAGCTGCTTGGAATAGAGCGCATGGTTACGCTCAGTAAGTTCAGTCCTTTTTTGGATTGCCTGATTATGTGAAGCTATTCATAATTCTACTTGAAGAAAACATGGCGATCAGGATTTGAAATTCGAGTTATTACTTTTGAGGATTGATTTTTCATGGGAAAATAGGCATGTTGAGTTAGCTCGAAAACTTCTCAATGGAGCTCCTGAGAAAAAGAAAGGCGCGGCTTTGTTGGAGCTGAGTCAGGTGGAGATGACTGGTATTGAAAGGGTTGTCAGGAATATACTTATAGGCTTATATATTCGAACAAGACTTTTTTTCTGCACAAAAGACTTTATATGATTGTTTAAATAAGCATTACAATAACTTATCAGAGAAGGATCGTGATATACTCGACCGAAGAATAGTTTTCCGTAAGTGCTGTTATAAGGCTGGTTTCCACAATGATTATCTAGTATACCGATATTTTGACGCTAAAAATAAAATAGACGATCCTTCATTACCTAGACAGGTGAAAAGAAAATGCTCTGATATCATTGCGGATTCATTGATAGAATTCAGGTATGAAATCGTTTTTTTATTTTCTATATATAGTATTATTCAAGTGATGATCGCAAAGTTCTCCATACTCTCGCTATTGATTTCTATACGAAAATGCTCGAGTTTGTTTTCTGATTAAAATCACTTTGTTTGAACTTACTATTCAGTTTTTCTATCACTATCGAAGAAAAAATGCCCGCTGTGGTCTCTCTAGCGGAAACTTATAAAGAAATTGGGAATTACGATCAAGCAGCTCACTTCTTCAGTGTTTATCTCACGTATGAGCAGACTAAATCTGTCAGACTAGAGAAGGTAGAAAGTGATCTTGTCAAGGCACAGTATTCTGTTCAGCTATTGGAGACTAGAGTAGCTGTGTTCATTTGTAAATGTCGTGGACGGTTAGAATCTGAGCCTACGTTGAGAAAGGAGTTTGAATTTCTGCAAGAGAGCATCAACTCAGACAAGCAATTATTTCTGATTGTAAGAATGTCATCCTACCTACAATATGATAAAATTTTTGTCATAGATCTCTCTCAAAGAAACGTTTGGTGATTATTTGATGAAAACCAGTGGTGTTGCCAGTAATGAGTATTTGGAATCGGCGAAATCTCTAAAGGTAGGAAATGTGCTGTTTTGATTAACCGAAGAAATTGTTCGGATTTTATTTAGAATTTATTTTTTTTTTGTTTAGAAGATTCTTGTTTCTCGACCTGACAGTGACGATGAGGAAGAGAGTCAAAGTATAACTGGTGATGCAGAGGAGGGATTGAGTTCTTATAAAATCATACAGCTCTGTAAAGAGGAAGCTTCACGAATGAATAATGAAGAGGAGTTGATTAGGTTGAAAGACAAAGTAGAGAATCCCTCATTCCATAGTTCATTTTCACTTTAAGTCTGTGAATGGTCATGGAGAAACTAGGCTTCACGTAGCTGCTCGCGAAACTAATACTGAGTTATTGGAGGCACTCATAAAATATGTTGGTTGTTTGTTAACATTTGTATTTCATTTTGGGTTAAGGGTTACGATGTTAACTTACAAGACAATGGTGGTTGGGCTCCTTTGCATGAAGCTGTTTCATATGGCATACGAGAAAACGTGTTACGTCTCTTGAAAGCTAAAGCTAAAGTTAACGTTCGGAGTGAAGAATCATTTGAAGATGAGAACGGTGTTGTTGTATGTATTCGTTTCTATTATGATCAGTTATATCACGCATTTTTCATCAGATGGGAGGAGGAATCACCCCCTTGATGGATGCTTGTCAAGCTGGGTCCATACAGATAGCTAAAGATTTACTGCGCTATGGAGCTGATTGCACTATGAAAAATGCCGACAAATGGACTGCCTTAGATTTTCTTCGGTTAGATTTCACTTATTTTCTTTTCCTCATTCTGTTTAGAGCTGCACTACTCGATTGTGATGATGACGAAGATAGAGTCGAACTGGAGAAGTTTCTACAAGAACTGGAGAATAGATTCCGAGAAAGTGGAAATATCAAAAGTTTTCATTGAAAAAGTATTTTTTTTCTTCAGGAGGTGTGCCATTCTCTCGAGAAGCACCAACTAGAAGAAGGAAAAGTCTTACAAGTTGTCAAAGGAAAGTGACGCGAAAAAGATGTTTAACTAACCTTTCTCCTTCAAAGGCTAATTTGAATGAATATAAGGTAAATAGTCATTTCAATTGAGATTTAATTTTCTCTTTCATAGTCTACTATGGAGAAGCTCTCCAAAAGTGCCCGAACATTGAGTAAGGATAATGCTATCTTCGATGATTGTGAAATTGAAAACGTTGAAACTTCTTTGAACAAGTCTAATGATTATATAGGTTTTTCAGTTGAAAAAATAATTTTAGTTGTTTTTTTTCATCAGATTTTTCTCCCATTTCTCCTCTTAGTAGTGTCGGAAGACATTCTTCATTATCCAATAGAAACGTGAGCATAATGGAATGTCTTCTTCCATAACCGAAGTTTTCCAGGGTTTGGTTTCTGATGATGATTTAGACACATGTAGGAAAAGAAAAACCAGTTCGAATAACAGATTGTACAAAAAAACAAAATTAAGCAGGTAAGCCGTTTCTAACCAATCTTAATCTTCCTCTGCTCGTTTCAGGTCTACTTCCAATAACTCAATGCGTGGACCTAACGATCTTGAACTAAATTTTTATAGTTCTCCTGAGATAATTAACATACAAAATTCTCCGCAGTCGCTAGGGAACGTTCATCAAAGGTTTTCACATTTCAGTAAAAAAAATATTTGTAAATTTCAACTAATTGTAGAGGCGAGAGGAGTCAGAGCTTCACTCAAAGGTTCGTATATCTCCCAATATTAGGAAAAAATTTTTTTAAGGAGTGCACAGAATGCGTTGAACTTGAGCAACAGCTCGACGCCTACAACTCAGCTTTTAGTTACGATGAATTTCATAAATCCCGACTTGTCAGTGCACTCGAGAAATAAACTAAATTTTGCCCCGTTCGTGGAAACTGTTAATCTCTAACTTACATTTCCATTTAGCACAGACAAGATGTCCGAGGTTGTTGCTCGTTGCAAAGATATTTTGCCAGAGTATCAACATAATTTTGTGATAAAATCATGTGATGATTGTGAAGTAATTCGACTTGTTAAGTTTTGTTTTTACGGTTCAATTTTCAGTTGGCAGATGATATATTGGTATCAGACATTAAGTCACTCGAATTTAACTGCCACATTCCATTGCTCACCACCGAAATGGCTTTGAAGTCGAAAGGTGTGGAGTATAACCTTACTCTATTGTATTAAGGAGTATCATTATAGGACTAGAAGATCCAGATGCCTTAATACAGCTAAAGGCTTTTGATAAAAATGGACATTTGGATCTTTCTACCGTCGAAATAGAGCCGTACGCTGAGGAATTATTTGTTGCTCTTAGGCAGTCTTCTAAACGTATAAAAATTCTAGACGTATCTTACTGTGGTTTGTTGATAGGTGTAATTCTATCATACTGCCTTTTTTAAGGTTCCAACGTGATTAACAGTGAACTACCTTCCGTGATTAGTCAAGACTTGGAAGTTTTCCATGCTGCAGCTTCATCTGTATCTAACGAGCTCCTGGAGAAGTTACATGAGGTGAGTAACATAATGATTCTTAAAGAGAACATTTTTTTCAGCAAGACATGGACCAAAAACTGAATTCTATCATCCTCTCATTTACGAATATAAGCGATGCCTCAATTTTGGCAAACTTTCTTTCCTCGAGTAATCTTACCCAAGTCAATGTTTCTGGATTGAAGCTACAAGCTGGTATTACTGACTTAGCTAATGTTCTGTGCAGTAAGCTTACTCAACTATTATATGATTCGATCTTTGTTGTAGATGCGAAGAACTTGAAGATTTTGGACATATCTTATTCTCAATGGTTGACACCGGATATTTTGAGCATTATCATAGGTAGCGACTCGGGTTTGGAGGAGTTGGTAGCCAAGGGCAATGATCTATCACATTTTCATTTTGATGTGAGTTTGTCTATTTATCTCCCTAGCGTCAGCACTTCTTTTACAGGTGCCTCACCTTCCAAATATAAAAAAACTAGTATTGTGCGGTTGTACTATCACTGAATGGGATTCATTTCTCGAATGGTTGGCATATGCAGAGTTAGGGTATATTGATCTATCGAGCACGAGTTTTTCTGTCAAACATGCTGATATCTTGTTATCTTCACGCCAAGAAAATCCGCATCAGCTCACTATTCGAGCAGTGAGGTTATAAAATGTTTTATTTCTTTAGCTTAGTGTAATTATTTTCAGATGTCTTCAGATAGAACATGTTACTGAACTCTCTGCCATGTTGATAAATCACGCAGAATGTCCCAAAAAACCAATTTTCCAGTTTTCAACATCTCTGATGTTACGTTTGAAAAAATCTGCTGTTGTAAATAACTTTACATTTACTCAGAAAACCTAATCAGTTACAGATAGCTTTAATAAAGATTTTCTTAATTGTGATATTTGCTCATCTTGAATTCTCAGGTCGTTTGTCATTGGTGATAAACGAGGAACCTTTCAATGTTTCCAGCCTCGTTTAGTTTACACTGGGTTGAGGACTCAGCTCAATAATTCTCGTTTGAATAGATTTCTACTAATCATTTGTCAATTTCCAGCCACTTTTTGTTTTCGAAGATCTATTGTTCAGAAATAACTATTTCCTCCCTGTTTTTTGTTATTTTTGTGGAAAAATTAATTTTCAATGTTTCAATTGAAACACATCGTTTGCGATTCTGAAGTAACCTATTGCCATTTTTATGTTTTCAGATGGTTTTCATTTTTTTGCTTTTTTCCTTGATAGTACGAAGTTCGTTTGCCGCATTGGACACTGCAGCAGTTATTTCTATTCAGAATGAACTGAACAAGCATTCAGCTGAGCTAGAGATGCTTCTTGATGTTTGTTCCCTATCCATTTCGACTGCACAAAATGATTGATTTCAGCATGTCAAAAACTTGAACGCTAGATTGACTAATTTGGATAGACCTGGTCCACCTGGAGTAAATGGTTCTCCAGGTTTCCCTGGATCTAAAGGAGAGAAGGGAGACGGAGGACTTGATGGTTTCAAAAATTCCTCGCAAATCTTATTAATACTTCCACTTAGGCTTACCAGGCAGAGAGGGTATTCCAGGTATTCCCGGTGTTAAAGGTGATATTGGTCCTTTGGGCCCCACTGGTATGAAAGGAGATAAAGGAGCAATGGTGAGTTGACGGAACCATATTTAACAGATTATTTCATCTATGCAGGGATTCCCAGGACAAAAGGGAGAAGTTGGTACAGGTGGAATTCCAGGATTGAAAGGAGACACTGGTATTCCGGGAAAGGTAAACTTTCTATTCTCACTATCTTGCGAACCGTTTTCATAGGTAGGCGAACCCGGTTCAACTGGCTTGCCAGGAGCGAAAGGAGAGAAAGGAATGGAGGGTCTACCAGGTGTTAATGGTCAACCTGGTCCTCCAGGATGGCCAGGATCCAAGGGTGAAGACGGTTTAAATGGGAGACCTGGTTATTACTTAAGATTACATTCATTACTTTATTACGATATTGAAGGATCACCCGGTTTCCCGGGTAAGAAAGGAGAAACAGGAGTTTCTGGAGTTCCGGGTACAGTTGGTATGATTGGAGAAAGAGGTCTTCCTGGAACTCCAGGACCTCAAGGTATGATGGGACCTATCGGACCTCCAGGACAGTTAGGACTACCAGGACCTAAAGGAGAACAGGTTGAATTGAGTTCAAAAAATCGTAACTGGTGAATTTTTGCAGGGACCGCCTGGATTCCCAGGAGGAAAGGGAGAACAAGGAAAGGATGGACTCCCTGGTCTACCAGGTAGCTACTAACCGAATATTTGTTCTAATTTTAAATTAGGCTGGCTTGTAAACGATAAAGGTTATTGCATTCTATCACTTGGAAACTGCCCTCCCGCTTTCACACAAATCGGAGCGTATCAGGTGTGACCCTGTGTTCTTAACAGCTTATTTTAATGTTCCAGGCTCACGTTGATAACTATCGGTTTGGTGACTATTCTCTCGTCAAGACTGCAGGGGTAGGATCAACAGAAGAACAGTTCGCCTTGAAAGTTCATTCTTGTTGTCGTTAATTTAACATAACGTTTCTACAATGTAATCAATTTAATCAAATTAACACATAGTAACATCGTTTTCTACCTTGGCAATAGAGAAGTCTTACTTGCTATGCAGAAAATGGATAATGAATTGAGAATCACAATAGGTATTAAAAGCCAGTAACACGTTGATAACTAGAAATGAAGGTTAATTGAATGCATGCCGTTACAAGCTTACCGAGAAGAATCCTTTCATTAGTTTGCGGAACATACTACCCGCAAAAGAAAGTCCAAAGTAGATGAGAACGAATATTGTTAGCAAACTAGTCAAGATATTGAAAAGAACACAAATGCGTGACCATTTAGTTACGCTCACGTCTGGAGCCTTCTTTAAATTGAAAATCCTAAAATTAATGGTTCAAAATTAGTCAAGCCAAATATGAACACCATGTCGAAATACTCATGAAGGTAGAACCTGCTGAGAACGTGACGATGATGAACATGAAAACGAGTGTCACGTTGAGAAATGGTAAAGTCTGAAGTAGAAGAAAGAAACTAAGTTTTTGATGTTCAAAAGCACTTTAAATGTACAACAAACTCCCATAGTAAAGCTGAGATTCATGTAATAAGCCTTGATCCATTCTGCAAACGTTCTTTGTACTACACAACTAAGATTCATCATTACCATTATCAAACAAACTAATATTAGCTATTATGAAAGAGACGAGATTGAAGAGAGCTGTGAAAAAAAAATGATCGACGAATGTAGGAATCCGCAGATACATCCGTAGATTCATCCGTACTCAGTTTAACTGTGTATTAACACATTGAGAACTGCCGTCTTTATCATTTAATATAATGAAAAAACGATGAGGAAGGCTTAGCACATGATAACGTGGAGTGATATCAATCATGATTGATTCAAGAGATTTAAATGAATACGTTAAGGCTTACAGTTCCTTTTCACACTATCAGCTAAAAAAGCGTGTCTACAAGAATGACTTCATAAATTCAAAAATGTTCAAGATGAGTAATGACACAAGCATCAATGATACAAATAATCTTTCATTAGCCTATTCTACAATATTTCAGCGTTCGACTCGAGTAGAATCTAGCGATTTGATAATCATATAAGGAACTCACACCATCATTTCGGACAGGAACATATCGCGGATCAACAAACAACACCCACTTCCCATGTTGACTACACTATTCTGTTTTCTAACTCTTCCCATCGCATCTTCACCCATTATCCGCGCGCAAATCGAGGTTCGCGTACGTAGAGTTTGGATTTGTTTTTTAGTTCAAGCTAGAGCATTGATACCTCGTGATCAATATGGATCCTTATACACATTTAAATTCACAGTAGTCTTATAACAAAATTCTATTAGAAATAGCACCGATCTTGCCATAAGTTGTGGATCACTGCCATCAACAACTACATGCATTCCATAAGTGTTTCGAGGACCCCAATCTGTCTACCAGGACGAGATGATCCGTCATGTTGGCGATGACGTATGCATATCAATTCAGCTGATAATCTGCTCCATCACATCTTCTGATGAAGACCCTTCTTCATTTGCGTTGAAAGCTCGGTCGTTGACATTCTATTCCGATAGATGAGAGTAACATCTCAATTTCCATTTGAGGACTTCACGTG